GGAAGTCTCAGCATAAGACTGTTGCGTAGTGATCGAGGTTGAACATCAATGTTCACTTGTTGTAGAATTGCTTCGATTCTTCCTTGCAGAGTATCGGCGACAGTTAAGGCTCTGAAAACATCTCTTCGGATACGTAAGGGCTCGATATTGATCAATTGGCAGCGATTCTCGTAGCTTGGAAGACGAAGTGGGTATCTCCAAGGCAGCTTACGGAGCGCGAAGCGAAGAAAACGTCGTTGAACAGATTCAATTCGCTCGGCCCCATTATTGTAGTTTGGGCTCCAGACAGCAGAGCAGTATTCCAACGTAGATCGTACGAGAGAGCAATACAGCGATTTCAAGCAGTAAATGTCCGTGAAGTTCTTAGTAATCTTGAAGACAAAGCCAAGCGTTCTGGACGCTTTGTCGACGACATACGATATATGGTGTGAGTATGTCAGCTTTGAGTCTAGAAAAACGCCTAACTCTTTCACGCAGTGCACCCGTTCGATAGTCGTGCCTAGTAGTTTGTAGTTGAAAATAATCGGTTGTTTCTTGCGTGAGAAAGTAATAACTGTACACTTAGCTGGGTTGACCACCAGTTAGCAAAGATGTCAATCTGATTTTGGAGAGAACGGCAGTCGGCGAGTGAGCGGATGCGCAGAAAAACTTTCAGATCGTCTGCAAACGATAATCGTGGCTCTGTGATAACATGGTGAACGTCGTCGAAGTAGAGGAGAAATACCAATGGTCCCAGATGGCTGCCCTGAGGTATACCGGACTTTGCGCAGAAGCTTGCTGAGCGACAAGTACCCAAAGTTACTGTCAATTGGCGCTCCGTGAGGTATGAACGAAACCATCTCAAAAGATTTCCACCGATCCCTAGCCTATCAAGCTTAGCGATCGCAATTTCGTGGTTCAGCTTATCGAAGGCTGCCGTAAGATCTGTGTAGATAACGTCCGTTTGGGTCCGAGCAATCAAACTGTCTGTGATGTAAGACGTTAGGCACAGCAGGTTCGTAGTTGTGGAACGCCCAGTTACGAATCCGTGTTGATCTGTACTTAGATATTGCCTGCAATGCGCATTTAGGGACTCTATGACAACCAATTCAAAAAGTTTTGATACAGCACTCAGCGACGTGATTCTCCGGTAGTTGTTTACGTCGCGTTTGCTTCCCTTTTTATGAACAGGAAACATATCCGCAGTCTTCCAGCAAGACGGAAAGATGCCGCTGGAAAGAGAGAGCTGGAATATGCGGCGCAGTGGATCTAAAAGACAAGTGATGTTCTTTTTAAGAATAATCGACGGAACACCATCGGGTCCAGCCTTAGTTGAAGTCTTAAGTTTAGATGCTGCTCTAGAAATCGTATCTGTAGTGGCTTCGACCATGCTGAGCGTTTGGTTGATCAAAGGAACATTACTGGCCGTGGAAGTAATGATATTAGCGGAGAGTTGCTCGGTTTCAAACACACTAGCAAATTTGGCTGAGAACAGGTTGCAAATGTCTTGTTGATTTCCAGCAGTTTCACCATTAAAAATCATGGAAGAGGGTAAGCCGACTTCCCTGCGTTGCTCATTTACGAAGTTCCAGAAGGATTTCGGGTGTGATTTTAGCCGCCGTTGAATTCTCCTTTGATAGCGTTGGAAACAGAGACGACTTAACCGCTTATACTCGTGGTTGAGTCTGACATAGTAGCATTTCAGTGGCAGTGTGCGGAGTTTAGTAAATCTTCTGAGAGCAGCCTTCTTAGTTCTTTTCAACGAGCGAAGATCTTTCGTCATCCACGGGACGCGAGAGTCGATATGGATGATCTTTTTGGAAACGTGTCTGTCAATGACATCATATGCCAAGACGTGAGAAAAGGTTTGTGCAGCAATGTTGACGTCTACAGGATCTAGAATATGCTCCCAATCAAGATTAGACAGCACATGGACGATACTGCAATGGTCAGCTCTACGGAAGTCATATGACACAGCGTTTGGAGTGCTGGTGAAATCATGGACAATATTATTTTCGGTCACGATAACTAAAGCAGGGTGATGATGCACTACCTTGACTAAAGGTTCGGGTGCCGTGGAGAGGAAAGGAGCTGTATCACGAGCACTCACAAAGCAGAGATCCAGGGTGCGGTTGTTTTCATTCAACAGGCCATTGATTTGTGACAGAATTACGGTACTATAACTGTCCAGGAGCTGGATGGTTCCTACGTGGAAAGATGAACGCTCGTGATCAGGACAAAAGAAACCACTATGGGTTGGAGTCCATGCAATGTCCGGTAGGTTAAAATCGCCAAGAACAATAACTTCGTCGGAAGGGCCTGCTTTGTCTGAAACGGCCAAGACGGATCGACAATGTGCGTCAATAAGCTCCAAGTCACGGGTTCGATCTGGAGGAATGTACACTGCACAGAGAAGCAATTGACGATCACCAAGTTGAATAGCCACCCACATTTGTTCAACCCTGTTCCAGGAATCGTCCTCGATAACTTCTGCTTTCAGCTTGGAATTAACTGCGATAAGGACGCCTCCCCCAGTAGTTTTCCTACTATTATTCGTGTTTCGATCGCAGCGAAATATTTCGTAGCCAGCACCAAAGACATAGTTTGAAATGGTTCGATAATTGAGCCATGTTTCGGTCAAAACTAAAATGTCGTAGCAGTGATCCATGACGGCCAGATGATAATCTTCCACGAGGCCGTTCATACCACTAACGTTCTGATAGTAAATCGTTATGTCCGACCTCCGCTGTTCGGGAACAACGGAAGGTTCAGCGTGTAGTTGCATTTGGGAGCTGGTAAATGTCACTTGACGGAGGAAGGATGTTCGAGTAGGGCCGTTGCCAATAACAGGAATGTGGAAGATCCCTTCTCCCATCTCAAACGTAGGGCCAGGACGACTGCTGGTTGCTGGCAGGAGGGGCTCGACTGCGATGAGTGGAATAGGGGCTTCCTCAGGGCGGACGGCAAGAATGCGTCCCGGAGTGCAGTTGACTGTGGTGGCTCCATGTTGCCGACTGGCAGATGTTTGAGGTGAGTTGAAGGCACTGGAATTATGATCATCATCAGGCAGTGAAAGTTCGCTAGTAAGTGTGTACTTGCCTAATATAGCAAGCTGGGAGACCCTCAATCCACATCTAAACTCAGGGCCAGGACGACTTGGATGAACACTGGCTGCAATAGGCGCGACTGATTTAGAGGAACTGGGGACTCCCAAAATGCTTTCTACGTTGCGTCCTGGTTGAGAAGTAATTTGCCTCAATAGATTTTCAGAGGGCATCACCGAAAATTCGCTTTGGACCGGTTTGACATCGATTTGTTATGTATTTTCCTCGGATATTCACTAACACGCTCTCACATATCGCACCAATACAACCGGACGTGAAAATCTCTATTGAACAAATTCTAGAAAAATTTTTCGCTTAGCTGTAGCAATGCAAAGAGAAAATCAATGAAGAGAATCGATCATCGCGTATTCGCCCTTATGCATGCTTACTGTCGATTTGTCCGTGTCTGGCAAATCTTGAGCTGGGACACTCAGACCCAGTTGTAATGCACTGTACCGTGTTGCTGTACTTCTGCTTTCATAGCATCGTAATGGTTGTTTACTTTGCACGATAGGTAGCCGGTTTGACAGTTCAATAGTATTAAGTGTACCCAGCCCAGTGGCAGGCGCGTAGGCAACATGTTATACCGTGACAGCGGGCCCAGCACAGCAAAATAAACGATTTGAGCCCGGGACATGCTACCTACTGTCAAACACTGCTGTTAGTATAGGTCTTGTCACTGGCCTGAGTGTACCCTACACGACAGAGGTTTCTTCAATATTTCGATCAATATTTTCAACAATATTTTCGGAGGGTCATCAATACAGGGTCGCTCCTCACTAGTCCTCACTAACAGTGTTGTAGTTGCCGATGGAATATTTTGAGTTAAATCACAACTACCTTGACAAAAGGTGCTGAGGAACAGGCCCATCTGCTGCTGTAGTAAAACGCAAGAGGAAAATGAGGGGAAATTTTGAAACCTGAAATCAAACTATTTTGATTTTGCGTCAAGATGCTTATCAATACCTTCGGCGTCAATATTTGCATCAATATGATTGTCAATATTTTTGAGTATTGACGATATTTTTGCTCATGTAGTGCCTGCTTTAGGCCCCTGGAAGAGTGTAAGCTGGGCGACCGAGCTGATCAGCAAAAGGAATAACATTTAATAATAAAATCTTTTGTCCGCTCGGTCGCCAGTTTTCACTTTGCCTGTGGCCTTATACACCGACTGTACCCACCTCTACCGACTACCCGCGCATGTAAAATCTAGACTTACATTTGAAAAGGACGGGATTTCAAAATCACCGTATCGAGAAAACCGCTTCCGAATTTCGATGACCAAAAAATTAATCCCATTTCACGGTTTCCCGATTTTATTGGCTTGGTATATATAGTTAATAGAGTAATCTAAGATCGTGCATCACTAAAAGAAAACATTATACACTCTAATTTCTTACATGTTGTTACCCCACATTGGTGAAACGCCATGGAAATACATCCTCGGTATTTTTTGTTTGACTTTGTGAGAGTGGAGATTTTGTCTTTTTCGGGCGTGACTGGATAGTAAAGAATCAGTACGTTTTGCATATTAAATAATTATAATTCGTCGATTTGATGCAAGGCGTAACAACCTAAAGCCCCAACTAGAGGGCTTTATAACAACCCCGATGCATCAGAGTTGAAAATTGAAAATACGCCATGAAAAAGGATACATATTTGATGAATTGAAATGATGTTCGTGAACACTGTTCTCTCTATATGTGGCAAAATATGGGTTGTTTACATTTGGAGTCTTCCGCGCTTTTCAAATGTTAGTCCAGAAATGTTTCCTTTCCATTCCTCTTGGATGTGATCATAATTTTTATGTCGTGCGAGAAACACTTGTGCCGTTTGTTTTTATCGAGCTTCGTCAGCAGAGGTCAGCATTATTTATAAATTCTATTCCATTCTTTCACTCTCCGTCCTCAACTACAGTTGTGCTGAGGTGGCTATCGTAACGCTCAAACGTCTACCGATCTTCCGAGCTGTCGATCCAGCAATAAAATCTGAACGCTATACCAACGACAAGTCCGGCGGCGGCGGCGGTAGCAACAACAGCAACAATACCGACGACCAACAGCAGCGAAATATGGTGAGTACTGTTCTTTTCACTCCCTTTCCAGGGGGGTTCGCACTCGTTTCATCCTTCTCAAAACAGATGCTCAAATTACAACTCAACGGAATTTCCAACTCTATAGGTGCCTGAGAGTTTCAGTTTCCACAGCAAAAGCAGCAGACAGCATAATAAGGCGGCGTGCCTTGTTAGTAGTGGTGCTGCTCTGCTTCGCAATCAAACGCATTCGCTGGACGTATGGGATGCTCGTGGAGCGATTCAGCAGACAGTGCAATTTAATAAAAATCCTACTCCCACGATTAATACTAACGTTGTTTCCGCTATGAACTTCGGTCGGAAACCGCCGGCACTGAATTCGGAGCTGGTTCAGCTCTTGGACACCATCGATTCACTTCAAGGACGGAAGCTTTCACATTTTCCCCAGCGTCCCAGGGTAGATTAGAATCCGTAGTTTTGAAAACCGCGACCCTGCATTTGACCGATTTTGACTAACAGTTTGTGTTTTGAATGTTTGGTAAATTTACAGAAAAATCAGCACAACAAGGGTGGTGCCAATCAGCAAAGGCAGCAAAGAGGTGGAAACAATGCCAATTACCACAACCACAACAATATGAACGGGCATGGTGGTGGTGGCGGTGGAAATGACTTCCGACACGGTAGGAATGATGACTTTAATGATGTGTCTTATTCGTCTATGGAGTCCGGTTCGCCGCAGAAGACGCTGGTGGGGCAAACGGTAAGTTTTAAGATGGTTTGTATTTTCAACAGCAAAAATAGGGTCCTGCTGGGCTGCGAAAAATGTGTGCGTGCGAAAAAAGTTTGTAAATAGAGGTTATCACGACCGGTTGAATTGGTGCATTGTGTGAGAGTGTAGTAGTGAGAATCCAAGGATACAAACCGCTATCAAAATGATTTGGACAGATCGAATGTCATACCATGTTGAGGCGCACAGCGGTCCAGAACTGTGAAAAGACGGTCAAAAGTAATTATTTCATGGATTTTGAAATTGAGACTGTTGTCTTCGGAAAAGTTTTTGGATGTGATAAGCCTCTTTTTTAACGTTGACAGATCAATGATTAATCACCTTTGAAGTGAGATCCAAAGTTAATTTTTGCAAAAAATCAATATATTGGTGTCTTCGGTAAAGTTTTAGAAAATATCAAAACTAGGAACTTTGATGAAGACACTAAATGTCTATTTCTTCATTTGATTGTTTTTCGTGGAAAATTCTTTTCGCAGAGTAAAAGAAATAAGTCCACTCGGTTCGAGTGGCTAAAGTGCAAATTTATTTCGATTCAACAACTACTGTTGCTACGTAAGTTCCTAAGGCAATATGTACATAGCATAAGACATCGTAGGTTACTTCGATCTCTTCTACCACTCCTTCCTAAGCTACGAATCCTAATAATATCTGGAATTCTTCCAGCTTCTGAGTCATCAACGGTTTGGTGAATCCGTCCGCTGGCTGCTGCTTCGTGCTAACATATCCCAGCTCGACGACTCGTCTTTCTAGCACATCTTTGACGAAATGATACCTGATGTCTCCCCAATCGGCATCTGTGTAGCCAACCAAATCCTCGCAGTGTTCCTTTGAGTATGTCAGCCGAAATGAACTAGTACCTCGCAGGTACCGGATGATGCGTTTGACAGCTACGTCCGGGATTGCTGTTGAATTGGCGGTCAACCAAGCAAAACTGATGTCTGGCCGCGTCGCCTGCGCCAGATAAGTGAGACAGCCAACTGCCTCCTGGTAAGGAACCTGCTTCATTTCGCTGATCTCTTCTTGCGCCGGCGCCGTCGCACAGTGGTTCAGATCTGTAAAAACCCGGTCAAAAGTGATTATCTCACGAACGATGCATTTTAGACATGTGGTGTCTTCAGGAAAGTTTCTGGATATGAAAAGCCCCTTCTTATGACATTGACAGATCAATGATTAATCCCCCTAGAAGTGAGATCGAAAATTTATTTTTGTCAATGTTTCATATTTTGGATCGGTGACTTCGGCAAAGTTTTAGAAAATATCATAACAAGAAACTTTGCTGAAGACACTAGGTGTCCATTTCTTTACCCTATTGAAATATGGAACGTTTTTTATAGAAACCCCCTTAATTTAAGTTTTTGCTCTGTAACAATTTTCATTTAACTGCTACTGGTTTGAAATGTTGTACAAAATTTTTCAAAACATCAAAACACACAAAATTTCTGAACATTATAGGATACTAAATTGCATAATAGGTCAGTTATTATTGATTTTTCCGAAAAAATAATAATTTTTGGCCACTTAATTATGATTTACTACCATTCTCCACGAAATCCCACGATGAAATCAGTTGCAAAATAATCGTTTAGGTGTGTTTTTATCAAAACATTCGACATTTCATGCAGAAACATGAGTTAGAGGTAACATAATGCGTAATATGCGATGTTTTCTATGGAAAACACCTTAATATTGAGTTTTTCGTACATATAATATTCTTTGAACCTCTACTGCTTCAAAGTAGGGCCACATATTTTCAAAATATTCCACCGTACTGTATTCTCAAATAGAAGTAATTCTTTATTTTTATTGAAAAATATATGTTTTTGCAGTTTGATGGCGATTTGCTGCCGCAAAACAAAATTAAGCTTTCTTTATTTTTTCAAAGCCTAACTTCTTTTTCAGTATTGCTAATACTTTATTGTTAGCTTGGCACAATCATGGTTTGGTAAACGTACATATTAAGTAACACATATTAATATTATATAAAAACTTGGCTAATTTCAAACAGTCTTCATTCATGCATTATAATTTCAACAAATTTTGCACAGCATCAGGTAATGTTTGGGATAACTTGGATTTCATTGGTCTGGTCATTGACAAAAGTATATCGCCTGTAATAAACCAAGAGATATGTTATTTCTTATTTTTCCTGTTTTTAAAAGAATTTTCTTACCCGTTAAAATTAATCTTTGCAACAGATCCGTCATTGTGGCTTGGCGAGAGGTCTTTCGCGTCCGATGCTCTCGAAATGACCTTACATTTTTATTCCGAGCTTCTAACGCTTCTTCCGAGTAAAGACCCATCGGAAGCTCCATCGACTCTATTACATCAGCACCATGAATTAGTATAAAGTGCACTGATGATGGCATGTAGTACCAAGGATACTTTTTCTCAAACAAACGGGCTGTCTCCAGTGCGAATATTCTGAACTTCTCGGTATCAATTTCGCGACCACAAGCTAGAGTAGTTAAAATCACCGAGAATCGCTCCATAACTTCTCTGTCGAACCCAGTGATATCTGCCACAATGGAAATATTATCAAAAAAAATTGCGAGCCGTATTGCCATCATTGGTAGTTCCGCTTCCTGGCTTGACAACATCGACGAGCAATCCCAGTTCTTCCTTTAATCGTTTCTGGATCATCTCTTTCCTTTCTTTATACAATTGCTGGTTTACGCTCCATTTTTTAAGCTTCATTTTGTAGGAAACATGCAACTCTAGCTCCAGAAAGCGAATCCGTGCATGAAGAACTGCAATTCCGTATTTAAATGTTGAACCGTTTACTGGTCGCAATAACACTTGATCCACAGCCATTGCGGATGGAGTTGCTCCACAGGCATAGCAGGTAGCCATCGATGACGTATCCGTCAGGATGGTTCGAGCTTTTCCGTCAATCATGGTCATACTAAGACGATGATATATTTTCAACTCATTTCCATTTTTCAGTTGTACCATGGATGGCTGCAGTGACGCAATTTGGTCAGATACATACTGTTCTTCACGCTTCAAGGTTATTTTATTTTCTTTTATGAATTGTATGCAGATAGGCTTGCAAAACCTTGTTGACGAGGGCGCAGGATTTGTTCAAATGGTGATTGGAGGACCGGATTCATTGATAGTTCTCAACTGTAGTGGCACTATAGCTGTCAACAGTACAGAGCTATCATCTGAAGACTCGGAGGAAATCGACTGTTTATACTGTGAGTGCCCACTACTGCCATCACAGCCCCACTTATGCAGCAACTCCTATCTCATCTCAATTGAATTTTCCAACAATCCTTCACTTTCCAAGTGTTCCGCGATCCTTTTAGCGTCCAAGTCTACCAAATCCTGGAGCTTAACTTCTGCACTTGTTTCAGATACTGTGATAGCTTCTGCTGGGGGGTACGCTTTTTTCTTGGCCTCTAGTACCACATTATATGCAGGGAAAATGTCAGCATGGTGCGCTTTTCCAACAGACCTAAGCAAATTATATTGATTTTTACTTAGATCAGCTTCAATGATCAATGAAACACCTTCCTCAGGAGTCAGTTTGACAGGCAATGAATGCATCTCTGTATTCTTGTACGCATCAAGAAAATCACTGGCTTTTTGAGGATTTTCAGCAACAAATTGAAGCAGCTTTGCTGCAGACTCATTCCCAACGGTTCTGAACTGCATGGCAGCTGCATGCAGCAACTCTGCACCACTATGCTGCTCTCTGAGTGTCTCTGTTTTCCGCCGCTTACTGCGAGCTGACGAATTCTCGAAAGCCACAGATGGCCGACCTTTATTCGCCTCCTTTTCCTTCATTTCCACAGAAGTATCCTCGATATAAAACAAAACATCCTCATCAAGCCACTTACTATACTTAGCTTCAAAAGCAGACAATTTTCTGTGACATTTGTCCCATCGCTCATAAAGCTTGTCTATTTCAGATATACAGGGTGTTTGGTTCCGGGTTTTACATATTTTTAGGGTAGATAGGGCTCCTAAAGTTATGAAAAAATATCCATGAAACATAGGGTCGGAAATGACTGCTAAGTGAGTTATTCAACATTTTATGTTTTTTAGTATTGCCAACTTTAATTAGCTATATTTTTTTAATCTTAATGTGATTTTCTGATTTCAACATACCAAATGAAAGATTAAAGTCTTAGCTATCAATGCTCTTTGAAAAAGAACTCGATTTAAGTTAATTATTATACATTAAAATTGAAAAGTATGTTGAAAGTACCAAAAAAACTGGTGAAATTTCATACATTTTAGTGTTTTTAAGTTGAAAATTTTCATTTCTGTTTAATAAGTTGTTCTACAAAACATTTTCCATGCAGTTCCCTAGATTTGTGCCTTTGGTAGTAACCTTGTAGGCTTTATGGTTTCTTCGTAATTATTGATTTAAAACAGCCATAAAAACTTGTGACGTTTTCATAAAATGCGCTATAGTCACCCTATTCGTTCGTACGTTCGGCTGTTGCAGTGGACTACGCACATGAAAATTTGGTAGAATGTTATTGTAAATGGTTAGCTACATTCTTAACTTTTGATTACCGCACATCTCCTGCGCCGAAAGAAAAGATAACTGCGGAGATGTTTCGCGGTATCGAACATTGCTCAGTCTCAGCAGAAAACACAACGAGAGACACCGAATCGGCGAATTCTGAGAGCGGAAGGGAGAGAAATAGGTAATGGTAATAAGTCGATGTCCTTTTTATTTCATAGCACTCGCAGCTCAGCTGCGGTGCTGATTCGAAGGAGGAGTATGCAACTCCGCTGCTTCTGTATACACACTTAGATTTTTTACAGGAGTTAGTATTTTTACTGGATTTTTGAATAACTGACTCGGTTAAAATTCAAATGACTGTTATTCGTAAAGATTGAATAAAATCGAAAAAAATTATTTTTCATCATTACACGGAGTTTACAGAAGTTAGTCTGTAAATTTTCGTAACACATTTTCTCAACTTTGAATTTTTCACAGATTTTTTAAATTTTAC